TAAATAAATAAATAAATAATCGTGAGATTGCTTAGATCTTATTTTTACTCTGAGATGAATCGCTGAGACATGTGGTACGAGCCTGTTTTTTCCCCAGTTGAGTTTAATGCAATGCCGAAAGGATGGAAAGCTTTTTATTATACGTCTGGCGTGATGTGATCGTGGGAGCCATGCAATCGCGATGCTGCGCCTCGTGCCATTGTGCTTTGTCCACACCTTTGTTGACAGAACTCCAACATTGAGCACGAAGGTTATTGAATCAGAAAATGTTGACTCTCTTTATTTGTTGTGAACTGAATGTTTTGCGCACAGCCAATTTGTTTCTTCACAATGAGAACCTCTTTTGTACATAACTGTATCTCTCTCAGGGCATTCATGCTTTAGTTATGTGTTCTATAATTATAACTATCATCTCCTAGTTTTCCAATTATATTTCTAGCATATACTAGCCGGCTATTCATTCCTCACGTCTTTCAATGCCACCTAAACCCCAATCCTGTAAAGGTATCCAAGCTGTTAGGCCGACGTCACACTTTGCGAATCGCTAGCGTCGGCGGTTCGCCTTGCGGCCAGCAAACCGCTCGATTGGCTGGTACCGCAACGCGACCGCGGACGCTAGCGAATCGCGCGATTCGCAAAGTCTGACTTCAGTCTTAAGCCGACACAAATCCCCACCCTCATCCTTCACTCTTCCTCTCCCTTTTGCTCACATTCTCTGTTCAGGAAATCAAATTATCGTTCAACTATCTGCTTTACCTGCATGGGCCTTGGACGATTGGCTTATCGTTGTTTCCAAAAATAAGCGTACTTGAAGTTATTGGTCGTGATCGCACAAAGTTACCTCCACAGTATGAATATTTGGCGGAAGTTTCAAATAAATTACTTATTCCTTTCGGATTTTTTTCTCATTCCTATTTATCGGAGGTTTGCTTCGCAAGAATCCGTCGCGATTTGCTAGATATTTGGTCGTGCAGATGTTGCACAACGATCCGATTCCTTGAGTTTCCGCTCTTTCTTGATATCGCTGTTCTCTTTTGAATCCTCACTCGCAAATTTTTCAGGCTTGTCACACATATGGGCGCAAACGATGACAGTGCCAAAGAAGTTCTCCTGCCCATTTCTATGTCAAGTGAAAATCTTTCGAAAGGTCAGACATTCATTGAATTATGAAGTTAACTCCAAAGAGAAGATGCGCGAATATCATATTACCTGTGCCTTTCATGAGAACACCGATTCTAATCACAGTAGCTTTTCCAAGAGAGTTCAGCGATTAAGAAGGCATCGCGCTGAGATTTCGAACTTATATTGTAGAGAAACTGGAGTAAGCATTCTGTTCAGTGGGGTAAGCAACTTTTGCACGGTACTAATAAATGTTCAAAAGATCTGCAGCAAGAGCGCCTTGTCGTGTGCAAAAACCTTCCCACTGGTTTCCAAAGTGCACAAGTAGCTCAAAATGACAGATGTTTCTCGAAATTCTGTCAAGGTTGTTTTTATTAATACTTAATCAGTGATGACTAGTGTGCAGTAATCAGGGATAACTCTTTAATGTTGTCCATCTGCCAATGTTATCAGTGACGGTGCATGATTCAACATCTTTTTCTCCACATTTCTCGCTGCCTTTATCGACGGCTGCCTGTTTGGAGACGTATGTTGAAAGGAAGTCATACTGGGTGTCCCTTAGCAGTTAATGACGTTCCGCTTTCGTAGCTTCTGGAGATTTTCCCGCTTGTTCATTGTAAAAGGTAATGAACGGCTGTTCAAAAAGGACTGCAAATACAAGTTGTGACCCTCCTCCTTTAGTCAAGGAGATAATGAAACGAGAGTATTCGGTGCTAAGTGGGTGGGGACCACGCGGCGGCGCGGCACTCTGCTCGCCTGGCATGCTTGCGTGTTTGGGAAATCCGTGAGCCAGGGGGAGTGTAGGCAGTCTAGGGGGTGGGGGTGAGGGCAGTCACTTGACATGCGTGAAAAGCTGGAATGTTCGAGTTTACACTGTCTCGCTCGAGAGAGCCCAGGTGAGCAGACTGCCGCGCCGCCGCGTGGCCCCCCCCCAACCTACTTAGCACTATAATATCTGTGATTTAGGCGAAAATGACCGACGTGATATTCTCTTCAAAGCGTATGTTGTCATAACGATGACATGGTTATGGACTGGCTACACTCTTACTGTGCGGTATACGCGAACTGCTGTTCCGAAAGATGAGGTCTCGTTCTAGATTTTAGTTGCTCAATAATACTGCTTTCTGCTCAATTGCAGGTCCCAGTTGCCAGTTATAAGTCAACAAATTAAAAGATCACTTTTCAGTTGTATGCCTCCAGTACCGTTGTTCTGATGGCTGAAGTTGTGAAGGCTGTGCTTTCACTGATTATGCTGTTCATAGAGAGTCGCTATAAATTCCAAGATTTTGCAATGGTAGGACTTGCTATTTTTTTCGGTTTTTCTTACTCCACATTGCATTTCTTATAGTATACTTACTTTGAATCACAAATTGTAAACTTTTTAGTGCATTGGTTAAGAAACTGTTATGCTTGAAAAAGTAAACAAATGTTACACTTACTTCTGGGTTACATGAATCTCCAAAATAGGTAGACTAAACAGACCAGGGCGATTCCTGGTTTCCTCCTGCCTCACTGAGCGAAAGATATTTGGGCCACATGCAAATACTTATAATTTTTCACGTAGAAGTTGGGGGCTGCGCATCTGCAGAGAGATATTTCTTATCTTTTCAACGTAAATACTGGCTCATTTGTAAGGGTGTGCCCATACTTTTGCTCATCGCTTGCTGCTCAAGTGTGGAGTAGATAATATCGACTACGTGGTCGCAAAGTATGACCGCACCCTGAGTACCCGATGATAACCCCGTGTTCGACGTACGACCATAGCCAGAGGATGTAGACTGTAAGATCATTCCGAGCTGAGCAGTTCTATGGATTCCCCCTTGCTTTATATGTCTTCCTTTTGTAGTCCAGAAGCTTATCTCCTGACACCGATTTTGACATTCATTGGTTACTGTTTGTTTTTGATTTTGATTTGGTCCCCTTTGAAAATGGACGATCTGATTTTTCCGTGACTGTTCATTTTGCTAATTTTTAAGTGTATTCAAAAGTACTACTTGGACGCCCCTCGCGAACTTTTCAAGATGAGCGTACCTTCCGTTGCTTATGCTTTACAAAATAATCTGGACTTCATCGCGCTTTCTCATCTCGATGCTGGATTATACCAGGTGAGATTTATGGCGGCTCGCTGTTGTTGTTTTGTTTTATGTGGTTTGCTTTTTATTTCACCTAATATCATACTGACGATGTTTCTTGGTAAGGTCACGACGCAACTGAAAGTGTTCACTACTGCGATATTCATGATGCTGTTCCTCGGGCGGAAGTTCTCGCGAACTAGATGGGCGGCTATACTCCTTCTTTTCTTTGGTGTCGCTGCTGTTCAGGTTGGTGCCCACTGACTTGGAAAAGCTTCCCTATTGAGGTTCTGAGGAAGATCTTGCTAATACAAAGCAAGACATAAGAGGCTCTGATCCCTTTTTCAACCTTTCCCTACCTCTTTTTTAGCTCAACAATGCTCACGACACTAATCAGGAAAAGAAGGGAAATTATCTCATAGGAATTTCGGCGGTTCTCGCCACGTGCATTACAGCCGGATTTGCGGGTTAGTTCCAGTTCAAGCGAATTCGGCTGATTATATTTGGTGTGCGAATTAAAATTAACTAAGCTTTGCTCTAAAAATTAATGTTTTGTATTCGAATTTCGTATTACTAGATCATGTTTCAGGCCTCTCGATGAAAATCAATCAACATATCGAGCAAGATGTTTTTTGCAGTACCACAGACCAGCTATACGTTTTTGATATCAGTTGAAATAGGGTTATGTTGTGGTTGTTTTAGGTGTATACTTCGAAATGATGCTTAAAGGAAGTGGCACAACCCGTTCTGGATTAACGCAATCTTCTAGATGTACAGTTACGACAGTGCATTGTGGCGTTTTTTATTCAACTGCTAATGTTCTCACACTTTGATTTCTTCTTTTCTCCTTATGTTAGATTTTCGGAATCCTAAATGATTTATTGTCAAAACAACCACCTACCTGCTCGTTCTTCTCAGAAAAGATAGTGGATTGAAAGTTTCTGTTTAGGTAAGCGCGCTTATCGGTTGTTTGTTTTCTGAAGGTGATTTGATAATCGAACGCGGTTTCTTCTACGGGTACGACATCAAGGTGTGCGCCATTGTTGGTGGGTCTTTACTCCTATTATGTGCATGTTCTGATGGCGAATTACTCGTAGTTACTCGTAAAAGTCGGATATCATTCTGCCTTGCCCATTATATATAAAAATTGGTTGGCTCCTAGATCGGAGCCCATGCAATGATAGTCGCTTGGTTTGAACCCCGTACAACGCGGCTTGAGTAAGCGGTAACGATGTGCTGGCCGCGCGAACATTTCAGAAGAACAGTGGTGATCGTGTTAGTTCTGGATTCCATGGAATCCTTGTTTTAATAAAGAAAGATCCAACGACCACTGACTGGCCAACCATTCATGTTGGTCTCAAGCCGTTTAAGCAGAGCAGACATACATTATACGAAGTTATACGAGGCACTTCTGATGAGATGCGCATCAATGCAGAAATCAAGGGGTAAGGGAGGGTTCCATTTCTCGGGTTATGGTCCGTTTCTCATGTTTTCTTTAATCCCTGAACAACTGACCACCTCTAATGGGATCTCTTGTAATCGTAAACTCCACATTCATCTTTTTGGCGACAATGCAAATTCGCACGTAGCCAGTTTGTGCCACGTCACTTTAGGCGCAAACAACTCAACACGGGTAAAGTTGTATCTTGAGGCAGGTTTTCCTCCGACTTCTTGATTTCAGCAATGTATTGAATACGACTGCGGTTTAGGCTTTCATATTGTACATTGTTCGAAAAGTAACTTTATGTTTTGACGGGGAACACAGTTCCAAAAGGGATGGACAGCTAATATTAAAAAGTCAATGTGTACAGTAGATATTTGATGCAGTTCAAGGCAGGGTGAAAATCGTGTCGAGGACGTGGTCCCATCAGTACGACCCCCCCCCAGATCGGGGTCTTGATACGACCCCTCTAACTTTGATTTGATGTGAATAAGCGAGTTCCATCAATGTACAGCAAAGCATTCAGTTGCAGCGCGGTTTATCCGTGGGTCAGATTTGCCGAAACCCCGCTCGAAACCGTCGAAATCTACACTCTCGATGAAAAGGTTCCATTCCCCCATTTCATAACCTTTGGAGCAGTATGTGGTAGGGTTAGATAGAGCTGGATTTGCTACTACCGGGCAATATTGAAATTGATCTGAAATCTTTACACTCGAAGAGATAGGGTCTCTCAAATTTTGTCGAGGGAGCGTCGAGGATGCTGAAATTTTCATGCGAGTTTTTGCCACTTAAAAGGCAATATCTCTCTAATTTCGTAAGATCTTGAAAAAAGAAGACAGTTTTGGAAAGCGGAAGGTTTGCTTTCTGACAGTCTGTTTAGCTTTCTTCTACATTCTCTAGTTGAGGAGATATTTGCGTCGAGGATCTATCGAGGATGATCTCGGCCACCTAAAAAGCCGCTCCCTTCTTCACCATTGCAAGTGTAATTTGTTGGCAACGCTCGAAATGTGTCTAGAATAAATTCTCCCAACATAAGCGACAAGAAAAGGGGCAATCGTCATCGTCCGATCTCGTCTCAGTATAGGCCATGCATCCGACCTCCACTCAAGTTGTAGAATCTATTGAAAGGTGTTATACATATGATGATGACCTGTTGACAGAAACTGTATTGTAGTAAACACATTTCGTAACTCCTGTAACCTAAGGAACAGCTTCATTTGCCCAGGGTCTTTCCAGAACTATTGTCGTTTTTGCGACAGCGTCCCTAACAACAGTGTCATTCTCAACGAGGTATTGAGGGCGTAGATAGAGGAAATGCCTTCGCAGCGCGTGTGCACATGTGACCCTGTTCCTTGCAAAGATGCACTTTCATTCTTTGTATACTTTCAAATACTTCCTTCTCGAAGGTAGAGGGACGGAGCGACTGAACCTGCAAAGAATATTTTATATCATGTTTTCTCACATATCCTTGTTTTCTGCTGCGCTACACCCTCTCCCTCCTATCTGCACCACGATGCCACTGACGTTACTGACCCCCAAGAGTACGACCCACCTGACAAATACGACCCCCTGTCGAGGATTTCCTCGACCGATATTCACCCTGGTTCAAGGCCCTCTCTGTCTTGAAGAGCTATAAGATGACGAAAGAGTCCTGAACAGTAATCACTTCTAAATATACAAAATCTCCTTTGATATACAGGCGAGTTAGATGCCACATTCTAAATTTTACATAAATCACCTCTTAAAATCTTACTGTGAATTATGCCAAACTTAGTTATGAGAAAAATGCTTGCTAATAATTACTTCTTTCTTTAGCGTTTGTCCCACTTGTTGGCGGGTTCCGCTTTTCTGATATGCTGACGCCACTTTTCCTGATCTCTGTGCAACGTATCGCGCCACCGTCGTTTCGGGCATCCTTAGCCGCTCCTAGGACACGTCCAAGCTGAAGCTGATCCTACGGATTGTCATCTTTGCACGAAGAACATGACCGTACCATCGAAGACGGGCTTCGCGCATTCTTGTCGGCTCGCAATCGTAGCTACACCGAATCGCTCTCTGGTGATATTGTTTTGAATGTGGCCTAATCGTGCTACTCCGGCTCCAACGCAGCATCCCTGTCTCCATAATACTGAAACAGGGTTCGACTTCTTAGGTGGCAGGCCAGCTCTCTGCACCATGAATCGCAACTGGCCAAATGAAGGTTTTATAGACCTTGGATTTGAGACGTTCTGGTATATTCTTATCACAGAGAACGCCAGTCATTGAAGGCCATTTCGACCAGGCCGCATTCACGCGAGAAATTCCCTCAAAAACCAGACTGCCTATCAGACGCGATTGCTGATCCAAGATACTTGAATGTTGTTGTACGTGTGAGCTCAGTACCATTGATCTTAATAGAGCCTGGCTCACTCGGATCGGTGGTCAAGTACTCTGTCTTTTTGACATTCAACCTGAGTCCGAACATAGCTAGACGGTCGGACCAGGTTTGCACCTGTGTCGATTGCTGTGTATCTTGCTGGATAGAGGCCACTTCATCAGATTTAGAGGAGTGTCCAATGTAACAGGTGTCGAATGATCTCTTGAGATAACATTCATGACGACAACGAAAAGGATGGGGATAGTGCAGGGCCTTGGTGTACCTCGACGGAGATGGGAAAATTCACGAAGTGCCTGCTGTCGTTTGCACTCGGCTCTTTGGACTCGAGTAAAATACGCTCGCCCTTTTTGAGTCTTTGAGAGCCACCATACTGTCTGTAAGGGTACCAGTCACGTGGAACGCGGATCGAAAGCCTTCTCCAAGTCTAGGAAGGACAAGGTGCACCGGTCTTTGTTTTTCGCGATGCTTTTCTAGCAGAAGGCGAGCGGCGTGTATGGCATCGATGGTGCTGCAAGCCAGCCAACAAAACCACACTGGTTGGTGGTCAGCTCGACGATGTCACGGATACGACTGTCTACAATTCGCTCAAAGATTTTCATGCTATGCGAGAGCAGGCGAATTGGACGGTAGCTTGTGCAGTCTCCAGGACTCTTCTTCTTCTAGAATCGTTGTGCTCTGTTTTCAGGTCTTAGGTAGGCCTTGAATGACCTGGTTGAAGAACTCCGTCAACTATTCTGCGGGATTCCAGCCTTTGACTTCCAGGAACGGCCGCTAGGTCGTCGGGACCGGTTGCTTCATATGCAATCTGGATTTCATCTGTACTTGAACCTTCATGGGTTACTTCTCAATTCACAAACATCTATACTAACCGGACGGCATAATACTGAGATGTTAAGTGAATGAAAATGCGCAAAAGAAAAACCGATGTTAAAGCGAGAGATTACGATAAAGTGCGTATGCAGCGTGGAAGTACATGCACCATTGGAAGCAGTAGTCAGGGGCCCAAGGAAACGAAATGTTGCGTTTTTGTGGTCAAAGGTGCGCTAGTTGCAGCGTACAAGGCTTGCCATTCCTTTCTGAGCCCCGCCACGGTCTGTGCTCCGCCCCCAGCAGCAGCGCCCTTCGATTGCCAATGTGACGAGATATTCCACTTCCAGAGTGTATCCTATAACTTTTCATGGGATGCGTGATCAATCAAAGCATGATGCTTGCTGAAATGATAGAGGCTATCAGCATAACATGTGCAAACGACCTCCTAATTGGTTGCTAGCTCGTCCATTATCGGAGGTCAACGGGCAAAGAAAGGGGTCCCATTTTGCGCCTTCTTGACGGATTTCTTTGCTTTTTTCGCCACTGGGGCATTATTCAGCATCTCCACTTCCACTATGAACCCAGTTCCAACTCATCGTAATCCCCCGCTTAAGGTGTTGGCCACCACTGAAATCCACTGTTCCACGCAGCGGACAGATTGGCACCCACCAGTGTATGCTGTTGTCGCCAAAGGGTAAACAATTGTTGAGAATGAGCAAGAATAGCAGGGAAAAATCCCAAGAGGCAGTGTCCCGTCCTCTAGTCACATATTTCAGTAGGTTTCCTCATATTTGTTCATTTGTATGGAAAAACTTTGGCGATAAGCAGCGCAAGTACTGCCCAGGTTTTTGAAATTAGGCTAGAAAGTTTGAATTTGGTGGTTGAAGCTCCTGTGATGGGGTACCTTTTGACTAGTAAACAAAGCTACATCAACAACGCATATGACAATGGGGCAGTGTTAATATGCCTTTATCATGACAAACGGGTGAGCAATCAGAAGCTATGAGTGGATAGTGAAAGGTGGGAAAGGCCGGTGTCAGACTGCGAATTCAACGGTTTGCTACAGCCACTCCGCGGAGTCGCTTGAGCTAATCGCTGGATTCGCAAAGTCAGTCTGTCACATCGGCCATAGATGGAGAATGAGCTAATAAATCTCTCGCAGTTTACTTGATGCTAATGAAATGCTTACACGCTCTATCGTTGGAGTTATTTTCAGGTTTCTTGTCCTTCGGTGGTACTTACATTTCATTGGTGATGAAATATCTAGACAATCTCCACAAGAGTTTTGCTTCTGCTGTTTCCATTATCCTAGTTGTTATAAC